TGGCTTATGTAAAAAAGTTCCACTTTACAATACTGCATGTTCTTTGGGAGAGAAGAAAAACCTAATTCTTAATTCTACAAAACTAACCTGAGATTCATGGCTTTCAAGCTCTGCTATAGAAAAAGGCCTCACTCTCAGGAAGACTTTCAGAGGATGATATACCTATTCAATAAAAAAAAGGCACAAAACACAGTTACAATTACCACTTTTTAAACAGAACAGACACAAATAAATCATATCAGCATACATATCTGATGTAGTATTTCCTATTTCACCAATGCCTCACTTTTTACTTCCTTGTGAAGTTCAGACTCTAACCTTTCATTTGCTTCTTTACCTTTTACTGTCCTTAAGTAACCCCTTTTGTGTGTGTGCCGCCCCCACTTAGCATTCTTTCATGACAAAGCTAGTATTTTGATTTTGAAAGAGCACACTATCACAGGCATAAACTGCACTGCTTCCACCTTCTGGTCTCCCTCTGTATTGAATTCAAGCTGTGTTCTCTAACAGCTGCTAAACAGTATTGCACTTCCATTTTGTATGGAGCGTGTTCAATTAATAGATTGACATATTCTTAGCCTCAAGGGACCACTTCCTTACCACCATCCAGGCACCAGCCACTCATCTTCCTCAAAGTAACACCCATGAAACAATTCTCAGCTGCTAAGATGGGCTTTTTCATCCCCTAACCATTACACAATGGTCTCCCCACATAGGTAAAGCAATAATTGCAGGGAGCTTTTTAGAGGGATCCTAGCATTCCTGCCTTTCTCACAGAACTTCAAAGTCTTTGCTTTGGCAACTTTTCATTCAGCAGATAAATTTTCTCCAGCCCTCTAATGACCAGCACTCCACTGATCATACAAAATTAGATCACCTGAGGAAAAGCCACCCAGGAAACCTCCCCCTCTAAAAAGGAGAGATTGCTATACTATCTTTTCCTCAAGTGCAGAGCACAGCATTATAGATTTTATTTCCAAGCACCTAACAAGTCTTAACACAATTTCATATGCTTTTTCAGCTTACTAAAAAGAGCAGCACAGTCTCATGGCATTCAAAGTGTAATTACTGAAGTCCTTTACTTTTTTTTCTCAAAAGCTTAGCACATGACATAGCATTGACCACCTGTATTTGATACGGGCTATGACCTGTGTGTAAGCAATGAGAAATAAGCAGAGGCGTCAAACACATCTTAGGGGGTAGAGGAGCACAGCAGTTCCTATGAAAGATTTGTCAGAATTAAAACTTTAAAAATAAATAAATAAATAAAATGCCGCACAAAAGCCAAACAAACAAAACCCCCAGCATCACCAGAAGACGTCTTGTAAAACCAATGCACACCTGCTGTTCCTCCATATTGGGCAATACTGTTGATTCCAAGGGCGAAGGTTTACCCTCAACATTCAGAAAAGAAACCGATTCCAACACATCAGATACTTCTGCAGGAACATAGTTTTTCCCCTCATCATCCATTGTTCCGTGCAAAGGAACTTGTAAGGAAAAAAGAGAGAAAAAAAAAAAGCCCATCATTTTCTCAGAGAACAGACAAAAATACACACGGAGCAAAACAAAGATGAGGACAGCTTGTATATAAACAAGCATTTCTGAGGGAGATAAGGCCACCTGGAGAAGTTTGGGAGTATGGAGGAGTCTTAAAAAAACAAACAAACAAAAAACAAAAAAAAAAAACAAAACAAACCACTAACAGGTTACCCTAGGAAACACAGAAGGGAAAGCACGCTAAGAGCCTCACTGGGCACTGCTCTCATCGACCTGGAAGTGTTGCAGCCCCACCCGCAGGGCTCAGCGCTGCCCAGCCCTCAGGGTCTGATCCCTCCCCACTCCCGGACCCCTCCTCAGGGAGCGCCCGCCCGGGCAGCGCCGCTACCTTGGCGCGCGCGGGAACCCGCGAGCCGGGCGCGCGCAGGGGGGAGCGTTTTGGCCGGGGGGAGGAGGGCGCTGATTGGCCGAGAGCGACCGGGGGGCGGAGCGAGCGGTGACGGACAGGCCGCGTGAGGGCACGGGCACCGCCCCCTCCGCCCGGCAGGGGGCGCTGCCGCACAGCGCAAGGCGACGGCGCCGCCGGAGCCGCTGCTGGAGCTGCCGCTGGAGCTGCCGCCGCCGCCGGCACGGGAAGGAGGACGGGAACGGCGGGGACGGGACGGGACGGAGCCGCGTGTGCTCGTGATGCGGTGTTTGTATATCGTCCTTAGTAAGGCACGGCGGCAAAGAAGAGGTCTGAACGGACAGCGGTCGTTCCAACGAGGCACGAGAGGTGCGCTGCCCGACGGAGCCGCGCCGCGGGTTGAAGGTGGGGGGGGGAGAAGCGGGTACCGAAATGTTTCCACCCGAACGAGTTACATAAAGTCATTGTGGGCGTTACGTAAAACATTTCGACACTCCCGCGGTGTTGTCGTAAACCGAACAGAAAACAAATAAATCCCGTAGCGTTCCGGTCTCGCAGAAGCCGTGGGTGGGACAGGTCAGGAACCGCGGGAGGCGAGGAGGGGAAGATGCTGCGGGACGGGACCTGCCCGCTGCCGAAGGAACCCCGCGGCAGCCTGAGGTCCATCACCTTCCACAGGCAAGCCGTCTGCTTCTCCGGTAACCAGTGGAAAGCCTGTCCCTTCATACAGTAGGCAGGCAGCAGTACCTCTGCACGGCACCAGTCCCAGACGCAATGGTAAAGTTGCATTTGCGTTTTAAGTTGGAGACGGGTGATGAGAAAGATACGCACTCAGAAGACCGCAAAAAACTGTGGTCTTTGAAGTGCCACAGCTGCTCAAAGAACATAGATGGGGCTTTAGGTCACTGAGGTATGTTTAAGAGGCATCCCCTAAGTCAGAGGTACAGCCGGCTGTAAGCCAATGGAAAGCTACTTCATAGCAAAAGGTTTTGACCAACAGAAAGACCAAAGACAGAACTGATGCTGAAGCACACCAGCTTTCCCTAGATCCATTAAAGTGCCTTCAGTCACAGAGCTTGAGTTAAGCAGAGGGAAGAGTAACACTTCTCATCTGCTACTTGTTTGCCCATTTATCCCCATAAAGAGTGCTCCATATAAACACAAATAATTTTAAAACTACAGCTAGAAGTGTTTGTCAGGAAGCTCATATTTGTAGCGTATTACCAGAAATGGACTTTTAGGAAAACACAGGTGTTTTGTTTTGGGGTGTTTTTCTGCCCCTTTGCTCATGCAGTTCTTCAGGACGTTTCCCAAGGAAGCAGGCTTGATGCAATCTGTACATGTTAACTCAGTTTCTCACCTCTCCCTATTACCAAAGCTCTCAAGCCTGCTAACTATATGGTTAGAATCCTTCTAAGGCTTTACATTTAATGAAATTGAAGGACTTGAATGCCCTGAGTAAGAAAGCTCAAGCTTTGGCCACTGTTTTAGGTCTTAGCAAACATAAATAGGACCTCAAACTAGACACCCCCACTAAATTTTTTAGAATTCAAGTTCTTTCCTATGCTTGGAAGCAGAAGCAGCAACCTTATCTTAAATGGATTAAATGAAACTGTTCTCTTTTATTTAACTCTGGGCCTTCTTTGCCTTGTTGGTTTAAGAATTAATCATACCCCCTTTACTTGAGAGCCCTAAGTAGCAGCACTGAAAATGGCTGTTTTGCTGCTTTACATATGAACCTAAACAATAATCACACCTGTGGAAATCTAAGCCTGAAAAGATAACTAGAGAGTTCCACAGCTTAAGTTTTGTGACTCTACATGCAAGTCTAAAGAATGAACTTGCTAAATTCAGTGTATTCACCACAAATTTTTATGAAGTTCTATGAGTAGTGTCCTCAGGATCCTTTGACTGAGACATGCTTGGAAAAAACAAAGCCAAGTAAGCTTAGTGTTAGTTCTGTCTTGCATGGCAAGAACCAAGAATTGAAAACTTAGTAATTTACCTAAACATCAATTTTAATGCTACTGCTTGTCTGGGTATAGACTAAGATTTCAGCCAAAGTTAAACCCTTCATGAAAAATATATTTTTAATAATTTAAGTGCTGCATGACCATACAGTCACCAACCTACAATGAAACCATGATGCCCAAGTTTAATTTTCCTGATGTTTACAGATAGCATATTCTTCTTAAAATGTCATACAATCCTCTCACAGCATTTTATGATCTCTGTTGTCCTTCGTGAAAATCATCACAGAGCTACCTTTCAACACCCATATGAAAACAAACAGTGACGAAAATTTGTAAATCAATTTTATTCAACAACGATGATCATTTAGGCATCGGCAATAGTAACTTCAACTTCTACACCTGGTTCAATGCTGATGGAAGTGATCTGCTTCACGATCTCAGAAGGGCTGTGTAGATCAATGAGCCGCTTATGGATACGCATTTGGAAACGATCCCAGGTCTTGGAACCTTCACCACAAGGTGTCTTCCTGGTAGTGATCCGCAGGGTCTGAAAAGTCAAACACAAAGTATTTAGCAGATGCACAAAGAGGAGTAATCTCTCCTATCTGATGGTAAATATGATCACCTAAGCCATCTAAAAATACTGCATGGTATCTATGACTTTATAAAGTTACCTTTTAAGTTATAGTTTACTAATGTTAGCACTCCTTCCCTGCATATTTAATTTCATTTTAAAAAAAAAGTTCATGATGAAAACAAGTTGAACAAAAAAGCCTCTTCCACATTCAATATATTTTGCATTAAACCCTTTAGCATCAAAGCAACTTGTGAAATCATTATCTGTTTACACTGGGTCAACACTGTTTAGTAGTACTGCTTTTCATCTCACCTTTTTTTTTGAAAAAGATGTTGTAAGTGCATAGTTGCAGAAAAAAAAAAACAACTTTTAAGACAAGAAAAGTGTTAAGTACCTTGGTGGGCATGCGAACAGGTCCCTTCACCTTAAGGTTTTTTTCCTTAGCGCCTCTGATCAGGTCAGCACAGACTGGAAAAAGACAAAGTAGCTCAGGTTTGTGACTATTTTACTTACTTGTTTCCTTAAGTGAGTATTTCAAACAAGATGTTGGCTCAGAATAGCGTATTAAGTGATCACTGCCATTCATTTTAAGCATTATCCTCATAGCCAACACATACAAGTGAAAGTGTTATGCCCTGGTGAGCAAAATCAGGTTACAACAGTAGGCAAAAGCCATTACTACAAGTTTAATCTGTATTTAAGCTATTATAAGCCTGAAGATCCTGCAAACAGTGATTCTACAACATTTACATTATATGACTAAATACTGGCAAAGCCAGTTGCTAAACAAGAATAAATAATTTCTTAAAATAACGTTATACTAAATTCTTCATAACTCGAGTGACAAAACATTGAGAAACTGGTGCCTTTCAGTTCTTATACATTCAAAGAATGACAGCTATTTGAAACCCACCCCCCATGAGAACTAAAGTGAAGAAGCTGCACTCTCTTACATTAGCCATTATGACATAAGTTTTCAGCAGGATAAAACCCCCCAAAACACTAGCTTTCATTAAGAATTAAATCAAAATGTACTTGTCAGTGTATGAAGTGCTTTGGGTTGAACTCAGTGAGCTAAGCCACAGGCAAGCAAGCAGGCAAACACTAACATCTTTTAATTACAACTGGTTTCAATACATTTATTTTGCAATGCGTCATGTGACATATTCATTACTTGACAAGCTACTCAAGTAAACAAAAAAGTACTACTCACCCTTCTCCAGTGATTTTACATTGCGACTTGTCAAAGTAATTCTAATACGATGAATTGCTACCTCTTGTTCCACAGGTGCTTTGCCAGTATCTTTAAACGCCTAAAACATTCAAGTTACAAATATCAGACACTACAGTGAACACCAACTAACACTATCCACAGCCTCTTAAGAACAGACTTCTAGAGTGCAAAGAACAATTTAGCTATGGGACTACCTTGTTCTGCTCAGTAGGTGAGATATCTGAAGTGTATGGTGGAAGGAAGAAGAATGGTGGTGGGAAGAGAATGAAAGAACCACGTTGTATCTCTGAGGAAAAGCTATTTTTTAGTGTCTAACTGCATCTCACAGTGGGAAGCTGCAAGCACACCCCTCCATGGTTTGTCTGTATACAGGTAGTACAAACACTCTTTGTCCTCAAAAATAAATACAGTTGAGGCACCATTTTACCTCGCCACCAATTAAGTAGCAAAGACTTGGTCAACAAAACTGCAACAACTCACACTGCGAGAACAAAAAGGGGTATCTGGCCAGGAAGACTAACTCAGCCACTCAGGAAACTGATTTGAGAAGCTTATACAATTAAGTGCTTGCAAATAATTGGGCATTAAGGCAGGCTATGTGAGCTGATAAAAATAGAAATAAAAATATGGAGGAAGAAAGGTCTTCAAAAAACATGGACGATGTATAAATATATATATATATATGTAAAAGTATAGATATGAATGGCTAAAGGGGGGTTGCCCAGAGGATGGAGTCAGGCTCTTCTTGGTGGTGCCAACCAGTAAGACGAGAGACAACGGGCAGAAACTGATGCACAGGAAGTTCCATCTGAATATGAGGAAGAAACTTCTTTACTGTGCGGGTGACCGTGCACCGGAACAGGCTGCCCAGAGAGGTTGTGGAGACTCCCTCGCTGGAGATACCCAACAACCGTCCGGATGCAAACCTGTGCAGTGTGCTCTAGGACGACCCTGCTTAAGCAGGAAGGCTGGACTTGATGTCCCACTGTGGTCCCTTCCCAACCTGACCGACTCCGAATTACGGGCTGTCACACACACTGACGAAGAGGCACGACCTGCCGCATGAACAGACGCGCAGCCCCTCAGCGTGAGCCGACTCTGAGGACACACACGCGAGGCCGTGTCAGCCCCGCTCCCGCCGCGTCCCGGGGCGCCGCTCCCGCCGGGAGCTCACGTGGCAGCTCCCGAAGCGAAAAGCACTCCCGGGCTCACAGGCCGCCCTCCCTGCACGCCGGTGTGGGGTGGGCTCCGGGAGCAGCCCCAGCAGCCGGGCCCTTCCGCGCCGGCAGCGCCGCCCTTTCCCCGGGCCGAGGGCCGGCCTGGCCCGGGCGGGCGCGGCGGCCACGCGGCGCTGCCGGCCCCTCTCCCTCTCCTTCCCCTTCCCCCTGTCCCCGGCGCTCCCCCGCCTCACCATGGCGGCAGCGGAGCCTTCCTGGCCGACTTATTCCCGGGCTCGGGGAGGCGCGGGGCCCAGCGAACAGCGGTGAGCCAGGAGGCGGCGGCGCGGCGAGAGGCGGGCGCGGCGGCGGCGGGCGCTTATATAGGGGAGCGGCACCGCCTCCATCCGGGCGCCGCAGGACCTTTCACCCGCCCGCCGGGCACGGAAGCGCCGGGGCGGGGAGGCTGGGATGGCTCGGCTTCCTGCGCCGATGGTCGCCCCGTGGTCTCGGCTGATGGCGAGTCGAGAGGCAGAGGGAGAGGGGCCCGGCGGCTGCCGTGACCCCCGCACCGGGCTCGGCCGCGCCCAGCGGGGCACAGCGCCCTCCCCGCTCGGGCCCCGTGAGCATCTTGCGCTCCTGCCTTTCCCAGTGGATCTCGGCGTTCTCCTGGGGGGAGCACCGGGAGTTGACGCACAAGCGAGGCTTTATCGCTTCCGGGGATAGCGAGCCCGCTCCCGGCTGAGCCCTTGGGTCTTGTTGCTTTCGTTCATTACTGAAAGCCACAGGACGACAGGACACAATCCTAAGCAGCGCCAGGGGAGGTTTAGGTTGAACATCAGGAATTTCTTCGTAGAAAGGATGATTAGACATTGGAATGGACTGCCCGAGGAGGTGGTGGCATCACCGTCCCTGGAGATATTTAAGAAGAGACTGGACGTGGCACTCAGTGCCATGGTCTAGCTGACATAATGGTGTTCGGTCACAGGCTGGAGTCAGTGATCTCGGAGGTCTTTTCCAGCCCACTTGATTCTGTGATTCAGTGAATCGGTAAAGTGGAGGTGCGAGAGCAGAAGCTTTAAGTAAAAGTGCTTGTTTCTTTCACGCTTACATTTAAGGACTTAAATGAATTTTATTTGTGAGAGTTCCATTATTTATTGAGATTGGGTGTTGAAAGGGATGTTTTTTACTGAGAAGGATCACTGAGTTGGCCTGGACAGTGGTAACTGTCAGTCCCAAACCAAGTGTTTTGCTGAAAACATGTCTGTTTCTAGTTACATCAGTGGTGAACCGGAGAAACAGTTATTACAAAATTATGACCTACACTAAGGTCTCTGGCCACCGTGATTATCTTTTAATTTTAATACTTTAATTCTAGTTCGGGATTTAGTCCAGGAATCATAGACATGGATAATGTTAGCAAAACTACTGCCACCTCTGGAAGCTTAGTGATTACTACAGTTATAAAAAAGCTTGCTTGGTGTTTTAATATGAACTTACTTTCTGGGATCACACTATTCTTAATATATATTTTTCCCCTACCAAATGAGTTATAGGTCTTCATATTGTCCTTAAACCTCAGGTGATGGAGGTAACTTTTATATGCCAACTACTCTGTTGTGATGCTCAATTTTTAGGCTTATTTGCACTTGGATTGTTTGTACTTGCTCTTTGAAATCTCTAGTTTACTAATATCTTCTTTGAAAGGACTTGAGGCTATATTCTGATAAAGCAGTTCCAATAAACATGGATACAGAAGTTGTCATCCTGTTGCTGCTTTCTGAAATGCAGCGATAGCTTTTGCCAGTGAAGATCAGTACTTGGAAAGTGTTTTGATGATAGTCACGTTTCTCTGGTCTCTTCCTCCCTGCAATGAAAACAGCATTTGGTTCTGGTGGTTTGTTTTCTGAACCGTTTAACAATTATGTATATACTATTTTTGAACTCATGCATAAGGAACCCATGTTTACTCTGTTACCAGCTATTCCAAATACTTCCTGAGGAAGTTTTCCATCTATAAGTGTTTTATATCCATCACTCTTAAATACATGACCTCACACTGATCATGCTGAAACACTTAATTTTCCAGTAATCCAGATGGTTCCCAACCAGCAATCTTGCTACACTATTTACTTAGAGCTTTTATGAATGTTCTTAGTAAACTTCATTTCCAGATAAAATACTGAGTAGGTTGCTGCCAAGAACTAATTCCTGTGGGATTCAATTAGAAATATGTCTGACCGAGTCCTCATTGGTGACACAGACCTGTAACTTTAGTTTTAAGTTGCTTACTACAAGCTATATGTCCACAGCTGTGCCAGTTTCCCCTGTGTTCTACTGAACAAGTCAAAGTGCAAATGTGTTACATCAACACTTTCCTGTTATTTACCAAATGCATGCTATAATTGCATGAGGAAAAAAGAGTCATTCCAAAAAGATACATTTTCCATGCATTTAAGCTGTGTAATTTAAGTAAAATTTGCTCATTTATTTCTTTTTCCTGGATCAAGAAGTCGGTTTATTGTTTTGGGGTTTTATTCTGGAATTAAGGCAAGGTTGACCGTAAGTTCCTGAATTTGTTCCTTTCTTACTTATTTTTCTGGTATTGGCACAACCTCAGCTTTCTTTGAGATTTTTCTTTTTTCCTGAGCTTCCCCAGATTTCTCAGAGCTTATGGAAAATCCACATTACCAGCACACAAGTCTCCTCTGCCAGCTCTTAAAATTCTTGGATACAGGCTATATGGAGCTGCTGATTTAAAAACCGCCTTACTTCTATTCCTATGTTTAAGGCTTTCCATGGCTATTGTTAGACTTTTCTGATATATGTTGTTTTTCTCCACAAATGTAGAACAGAAATTTATCTGAACTTCCTGTTTGCTCTGAAATATGTGCTCCTTCATGCTATTCGCATGAGTAAATAGCCATTCTAAATACAACTTTTTGCATGTCTTCTGAGTATTTTGCTTTTCTTAGCTTCTGATTCATATTTTGTATTATGCCTGGTTTTCCTTTGGTTACATACTGGTTTTAATGTAGGTTTTTCTCCCCAGCCAATGATAACTTTAGCAATGAGATTGTGATTCTGTGACTTATAATACCCTGATGGCCTGTGCTTTTTAGATGAAGCTTCCAGGAGTGTTTCCCTCATGTCAAACAATTAGGAGGATAAAAGATTAAGAAGCAAGACATGCTTTTAACATGACTTAGTAGTCTGTA